TTTTAGTAGTTAAGATTAGTTCTTCCATGATTAAATCTTAATCACTCCCTCACAAATAATTATTGTTGTATTCTATGACGATGATCGCTCTTTAATTGATAGCACAAAGTTGGAAGCAAACTGACGATTTTATTCAATGATCAAAGACACTTTAAATACAGGGTTTCAGCCCACTGAACTCGCCCTCAACTAACAAACTCTAACGTCAGGATCCTAGGTTTCAGCTTCCACTACTAACATGACTCTATGACTTGAGATGCAAGCTCTCAACAAACAAAGACTCAACTAACAATAAATCAAAACGACATAGCTGCTGTTTGGTTCGTCTAGCTGCTAATCCAAACGACGCCGTGACAGCTTTATTCAAATCTTCCCGCCAACTCCCTCAATCTTCAGCAGCCCAGGGTCTGATTCATAACAAATCCTCCCCATGAACTGAAGACTATTGAATCAATACTTCAGTTCATACCCACATCAGACTGCAGCTTGAATTCTTCATCATCACAGACTCCAAGACTGCTCCTCATCACTTGAAATGCTTCCAGGCTCAAAGACTTGGTCACAACATCTGCAATTTTTTAATTGGTTCTGCAGTGTTCCATAGCAATTTCTTCCTCCTTAGCAAGCTCCCTTAGATAGTGAAAACACACATCAATGTGCTTGCTTCTCCCATGAAGCACAGGGTTCTTTGATAGCTTAATTGCAGAGCTATTATCACACATTATCCTTGTGGTTGCTGCCACACTCTTCTTCCATCCCATCTGCCTCAGAATTCTTCTTAACCACATGCATTGAGCAGCACAGTAGGAAGCTGCAACATACTCAGCTTCAGTGGTTGAGAGGGTGACTACAGGTTGCTTTTTCGAGGACCATGAGACAGCTCCACCTGCAAGGAAGAAAACATAACCACTTGTGGACTTTCGATCATCCAAGTCCCCTGCATAGTCACTGTCAGTGTAGCCTAGCAAGCATTCTTCTTCACTAAGTTTCTTGTACCAGATTCCATGAGTTGGTGAACCTTTTAGATATCTTAAGACTCTTTTTGCTGCTAACATGTGCTGCCTAGTAGGTGACTCCATAAATCTGCTTAGAAGGCACACTGAATGCATAATGTCAGGCCTGGTAGCTGTTACATAAAGCAGACTTCCAATGAGCTGCTTATATTCAGTGGAGTTTACTAGAACACCATCTCCTGCTTTTGACAACTTTACTGCAGGGGTCATAGGATTCTTCACAAAGTTGCAATCAGACAGACCAAACCTTTGCAACACTTCTCCAATATACTTCTATTGGTTGATGAATATACCAGCTTTAGATTGATGTACTTCAACTCCCAGGAAATATTTCATTTTTCCTAGGTCAGTCATCTCAAACTCAGACTGCATTGACCTCTTAAACTCTTCTATCATTTCTGCACAACTGCTAGTATACATTAGATCATCGACATAAAGGCTCACAAGCAGAATGTTACCTCCTGATTCTTTTATGAACAAGGTGTGTTCATGATCACTCCTTTTGAATCCAGTCTTCTAAAAATATGCCTCGATTCTGCTATACCAGGCCCTAGGAGCCTGTTTCAGTCCATATAGGGCTTTCTTCAGTTTGTAAACCTTGTTTTCTTCACCTGCAACTACAAATCCTTGGGGCTGCTCGATATATACATCCTCAGTTAGCTCACCATGTAGGAATGCAGATTTGACATCAAGTTGAAACACTGCATAGCCATGGTGTGCAGCAAAAGCTAGCAGTGTTCTGATAGTGTCCCACCTAGCCACAGGAGCAAAAACTTTTGTAAAATCAGTTCCAAACGTCTGAGCATACCCTTTTGCCACCAGTCGTGCCTTGAATTTGTCAATGGAGCCATCCTCTCTTAACTTGGTTCTGAAGATCCACTTGACTCCAATGGGAGTGATACCTGCATGTAGTGTTGTTAGAATCCATGTTTCATTCTTGACAATGGAATGAAACTCCTGCTCCATGGCCTTTCTCCACTTCTCTTCTTTTTCTGCCTCTTCAAAGGTTTTTGGATCATCATTGACAACTACCATAGCCCAACAATCTGCCTCAATGTAGTAGTTACAGTCATAGATTGCTAAGTGACTAGGTGGATGCCTCACTCTTTTTCCCAGATTGCCACTTGGTAGCCCCAACACATCAGGACTTGCTTCTTCTTCATCCTCCCCTAAGTCCTGATTTGGTGTAGTTGGTGTAGGTGATAGTGAAGATGAAGAAGGATCTGCAGTTTCTGCAGCAGCAGGTGGTTCAGTTTCTCCCTCCCCTTCTTCTTCAGAATCATACCAAGGCTCTTCACTTCCTTCCCAGATAACCCGAGTCAGAACAGGTTGAATTTCTGAATCCCAGGTCCATCCTTATTCTTCATCAAAAAACACATCCCTGCTGATTACCACTTTCTTTGTGACAGGATTATAAAGTTTATATGCTTTGGATTCAGAAGAGATACCCAAAAAATGACACTTTATGCTCTTGTCATCAAGTTTTCTTCTCAAATGATCATTAACATGATCATATCCCACACAACCAAAGACTTTAAAATGATCAACAGAGGGTGGAGCTCTTCTCCAGAGTTCCTAAGGTGTCTTACCAGCATTGGCTGCAGTTGGACTCATGTTCAATATGTGGGCAGTCAAGGCTACTGCTTCAGGCCAGAAGTGTGCAGGAACTTTGGTATCTTCCAATGAACACCTAACCATGTTCATAATGGTTCTGTTCTTCCTTTCTGCAATCCCATTTTGCTGGGGAGTGAGAGCAGCAGTAAGCTATCTCCTAATGCCAGCTTCCTCACACAGATTCTTGAACTCGTTCAACATGAATTCACCTCCCCTATCAGTTCTTAGACAGGTAATGAAATCTCCAGTCTGTTTTTCCACTTGACACTTATATTTCTTGAAGCAATCCAGTGTATCAGATTTGTTTGCCAAGAAATATACCCACAACTTTCTACTGAAATCATCTGTGATGGTCAGTATGTACCTTTTGCCCCCATTTGATACTGGAGTGAGTGGTCCACACAGGTCTGCGTGGATAAGTTGAAGTCTCTTGCTGGCCCTCCAAGTGCTTTTCTTGGGAAAGCTGGTTCTGTGCTGCTTTCCAATTTGACATGTAGAGCAGACTTTGATGTCTCATGACAGGTGAGGAAGCCCTTGCACCACTTCTTTTCTTTGCATTTGCAAGAGGCTTTGAGTGTTCAGATGCCCAAATCTACGATGCCATAGACTTAAGTTCTCAGCTGCAGTTCTGGCTTGTAGACATTGGACTTCCTCCCTTGATCGTTCAGCCTGTAATTGAGCATGCAAAACAAACATTCTATTTGATTTCATGTTAGTTTGCAGCAGGAGACCCTTATCTTCATGAAAGATCTTGCACACTCCTTCTTTAATCACAAAAGCCAGATGCTTTTCTTGCAATTGTCCAACACTTAGAAGGTTTGTTTTCAGTCCAGGAACATAGAAGACATCCTGGATTAGCAGTGAGGTATTTTCCACCCTCAGCTTCACTGTACCTTTGCCAGCAACTTCAAGCTTGGATCCATTTCCCAATCTGACATTGCAGCTTGAATCTGTGTCCATGGTGGTGAACCAATGCTTTTCTCCACTCATATGGTTGCTGCGACCGGAGTCTAGGAACCACCAGCTATCAGTCTTCTCAAATGGAGCATTGAGTACAACCATTTGAGATTGAGCTTCTTCCTTCTGTTCTTCTTTTCCTTCAATGAAGGCCATCAGCAAGACATCTTCATGCATGTCAGGATACTTGCTTTGAGGATGTCTTATGTGATCTGTGTAGTATGCTCGTTGTTGATTGTACCACTCAGGACACTCACTCTTGAAGTGGCCAATCTTGTGACATTTAAAACATTCCACCAGATCTCGATTCCAACCTCTACCTCTTCCACCTCTTCCTTGATAGCCTCCTCTCCCTCTGCCCTGATAATTTCCTCTTCCTGTCCCTCTTCCTCCAAAGTCAGCAGTGACCTTAAGTGCTTGTTCTTCTTCTATTACATGCTTTGCAAACTTTTGCTCATGAACTAGTAGAGAGCTTTGCAAAGCATCAACAGACAACTAATCGATATCCTTTGACTCCTCTATAGAACACACAATGTAATTGAACTTCGTGGTTAAAGTTCGAAGTACCTTTTCCACAATCTTTACATCTGGCATCTCTTCACCACAGTTTCTCATTGAGTTAGCCACAGTCATCACCCTGCCAAAGTACTCTGCAACAACTTCTCCCTCTTTCATCTGCAGCAATTCAAAGTCCCTCCTGAGACTCTGAAGTTGTGACTTCGTCACTCTTTCACTTCCTTGATACCTGGTTTTCATGGAATCCCAGAGTTCCTTAGCTGTAGTTTTCTGTGTGATAGTCTTGAGGATGCTTTTGTCGATTGAACTGAAGAGATAATTCTTTGCCTTCAGGTCTTTCAAACGAGCTTCCCCTAGACCTTTCTGACGAGCTTCAGTCACCTCTTCCCCAGCAGCAGGTTCTCTGATTCCTTCACTCACAACAGTCCAATACTCTTTGGACCTTAACAGATTCTCCATCAATAGGCTCCAATGATCATAATCCCCATCAAATTTTGGGATACAGATCTGAACAATTCCATTTTCACTCATGCTTACTCACCCAAAAAGATATTCCTCACACACTCTCGTAACCCAGAAATCACAAAATCTTTCACACAACTCTCTCACTCTTTCTTGGTTACAGTCTGCAAAGGAAACTCTGATACCAAAATGATAGCACAAAGTTGGAAGCAAACTGACGATTTTATTCAATGATCAAAGACACTTTAAATACAGGGTTTCAGTCCACTGAACTCGCCCTCAACTAACAAACTCTAACGTCAGGATCCTAGGTTTCAGCTTCCACTACTAACATGACTCTATGACTTGAGCTCCAAGCTCTCAACAAACAAAGACTCAACTAACAATAAATCAAAACGACACAGCTGCTGTTTGGTTCGTCTAGCTGCTAATCCAAACGACGCCATGACAGCTTTATTCAAATCTTCCCGCCAACTCCCTCAATCTTCAGCAGTCCAGGGTCTGATTCATAACATTAATATCGTACTCTTGATTGGTGAAAATGAAAACAATAAATTAAAGTACATGCGACCAACAAATTAGCTACACGTGAAATAAATAATACAATTGATGAAACAGGTCAAATGATGGCAGGCACAGTACAGACCCACTCCACTTCTGGACACGTAAGCCATGCACCTCAGGCCGAGAAATCGCCACCATTTGACGACTTGGCGGGAGACGGCGCCACCGCATGATCCGGCAGAGGCGGTGACGGTGCACGGCGACTCCGGAAGCGCCCGCCGCCGGAGTAGTTCATTTCGTCCAAGGGGCAGCGTCCGGTTTCTCCGGGACGAGGAGTGTGGCCGCAACCGGAAGCTCTCGACGGCGGGACCGGGCCACGCTGGAGAGACTCGATTTGTAGAAAGCTTTCATTATCCCAGCGCCATTTCTGCTCTCCACGAAATGTCCGCGCAGCAGCGATACCATGAAAGGCATCAGCAAGCAGCACCAGAGCTATCGTTATCGCCATGACAAAACTGGTTATTAATCCTGCCATGAAATGATATACTGATTCGATTCCTAGCTAGTAGTATAATAGTTTATCTGGATGAGTATTTTTTAGTACGTATTTGGTGGGGGCGAAATCGAATAAGAGAATGTGTGTCTTAAATATTTGTTGGTTTTGTGAATGAGAAATGAATTTAAAGCATGAAAAGGTTTTGTGTATTTATAGCAGTTTAGTACTCTGCTTCATTTGATGGGTACTCCGGACTCCGGAGAGATAATTGATTCCAGTAATTCAATTTGTTGAAAAAGGTTTAATAATAAATTTTAGACTATTGACTAACACATCCGGCCTCCTCAAACGAAAATTTAATAATGAATTTTTGTCTAAATTTATAATAATATACTAAAATTTTTAGGCCCCAAAACCCAGAATCCTGGCTTCACCCCTGAATAAAGAAAAGTCAATTCATTAAGGTTTTCTTATTTGCACATGTCCTAAATACGAGAATATGTACCTTGTGATTTGTAAAAGGGGGTTACCGAAATTTGAAAACAATACCTCTCGATTACAAAAGATTCTGATATCATGTCAAGAACCAATTTATCATAATAACTCGAATTTTTAGGAGAGATTCAATAATGAATTTTATACCACTGACTAACATAGATTTCCATGGCTAGCTCGTGGGGTTGAATTGATATCGTTGATGATGATGAGCGTAGAGAGACTAGAGAGATGGGGCGGTCCATTTGGGATTGATTGACCTCGTATATGTACGTGGAGAATGAGCAGCTTATAAGTTGGGTTTGGTTGACCTGGAACGACGAATTTGATTCATTCATGCTGCACATATATTTGTGTTTTGCTGGAATTACTGGCGTCTATAATCTATATAATAGACAAGACCGAGGGAACCTCCAAAATTACTCAGCAACTTCCCAAGTATATGGAAATGGTAAGACTTGGCAATGAGCTAAGCTAGTTGAGTTTATTTTGGTTTGATTTTTTTTTTTTTTTTTTGGGACCTGGCGATAAGTTTACGGTTAGATACTTTTGAATGTCTATGGTTCATTTGTAGCAAAACGTACGTCTTTCGGGTCAGAAAGGAAAACTCATTAATTAAGCGACATATTTTAGTGCTCAATTTATCGTTTGAGTCAATTGTAGATGTCAATAACGGATAGGGATAATCGACAATGCAAGAAAGACAACAATAACAAGAAGGTAAATAACACACATATTTACGTGGTTCACTAACACAACATGTGTTAGTTAGTCCGCTGGCAGGAGAGAACCAACTTCACTATACTTGACGTTTGTGTTAGTTAGTACACGGGCGAGAGAGAGTCAACTTCACTATAATTGAAGAGATTACATATTACAGAGGGATCAAGAAGAATATATAGTACTTCTCTAGTCGATCTAACCCTGATTGAATTTGATAAAAAATAAAGTTATACACCACACACAAACACATAAACCCAAACATGTATATAAACACATAATCTGATTCAAGCTGAGTCGTATATATTGACAACAAAATCCACCATCCAGACCATCTCATGAACGTTTGTTTTCGTAACTAGATCTCTCCAAGTTATGAGACATGTTTCTCCTACATGTTGATAGAATATAGTACAAAGTGTAATTTTGTTGTTTTCAGGGTAGTCATTGTAACTAGTAGTTTGTATAGGTACTAAGTAGTAATTTGGTGAACATTATAAAGGCTGTACAGTGTAACAAGAACAATTACCGGTTTATGCAATAATCACTTTCTCATTAAATCTGGCATGGTATCATAGCAAAACTAGGGTTTCATCCATTCTTGATTTCTTTCGTCTCTTTCTTTCTCCGCTGCGATGGCGATTCTTATTCCCGCAAATCTTGATCCTAATCATCCATACTTTCTCAATCATAACGAGAATCCGGCGTTGGTGCTTGTGTCGACGCTTCTCCATGGTGGCAATTATCAGTCCTGGGCTCGATCGATGAGGATGGCGTTGCTCGCGAAGAACAAAGTCGCGTTCGTCAATGGTGAGGCTCCGCATCCTGGCGATGATGATCCGTTGCTTCCGGCTTGGGAGCGTGCCAATCTGATGGTTCTAGGCTGGATTTTTCGATCTCTAGAGCCGACGATTGCTCAGTCAATCCTCTGGCTCGATTCCGCGAGGGAGGTGTGGCTGGATCTTCATGAGCGTTTTGGTCAAGCGAATCTGGTTCGGATTTCAGATCTGCATGAGGAGATCTATGGCTTCAGGCAAGGGAATCTGACTGTCACGGAGTATTATACTCGTTTCAAGGTTCTCTGGGACGCGTTCTTTGCGCTTCGACCGTTGCCTGGCTGTTCTTGCAATCCTCGCTGCAGATGTGGAGCGTTTACCAGGCTTCGGAGCTATATTGAAGCTGATAAGATAATTAGGTTTCTTCGAGGCCTTCGCGACTCGTTTGGTCCGCTCCGTTCGCAGATTCTTCAGCAAGATCCACTTCCGCCGATCAATTCTGTGTTTGCTCAAGTTGTTCAACAGGAGCGTGAGTCTCGTCATGGAGCATCTTTGGTTCCTCCTGCTCAGCCTCCTATGGCGTTTGCTGCTCCGTCCTCGGCTCAAGGAGGTTTTACTCAGGGAGCTTCTTCATCTGGTCAAGGTCGCCGAGGTGCTAGAGATGGAGTCAAGAGGCCTATCTGCACTTTCTGTGGTCTGGCTGGTCACACGATCGAGAAGTGTTTCAAGAAGAACGGGTATCCACCTGGATACAAGGCTCGAGGCAAGTCGATCAATGCGGTTTGTGCTGGAGATTCCACTGATGAGGTGCCTGAAGATGCTGCTGAAGGCTTCACTCTTTCTCGGGCTCAGTATCAAGCACTTATCTCGCTTATTCAACCTCAGCAGCAGACCACCAATCTGGGTTCCATCAACTTGATGGCAGTCACCAACTCTTTGCCTGAGCATTCTACTTCTGCTCTCTATGAGGATGCTGCTGCAGCACAGACAACTTCCTCTGCCTCTCAAGCTGCCTTTGACGAGGTTGCAGGTAAGTTTCTTCTATCTGTATCCAGCACTAGGTCTCTTGAACAAACATGGGTGGTAGACACTGGGGCTACTGACCATGTGGCTTGCTCGTTGTCTATGCTGAAATCATATAATGTTGTGAATAATTCCTTCGTAACTTTACCTAATGGCTCTAAGGCAAAAGTAACTCATATTGGGACAGTACATTTAAATGATAATCTCATCATCTCTAATGTATTGTTGATTCCATCTTTCACGTTTAACTTGCTTTCTGTGAGCAAGTTGACTAAGCAACATAACTGTTCAATGACTTTTATTCATGATGCTTGTTTTATCCAGGAGCTGTCAGCTATGCAGACGATTGGTATAGCTGAACAGATCTCTGGACTTTACTACCTCCAACTTGGCAACTCTCTGCCTCGTTCTATTATCCCTCAACTACTCTCTGCATCTTATGATACATCACATACTATGTTTGATTTGTGGCATTATCGATTAGGACATGCCTCTACTCCTAGAATAAAAGGTTTACAGGCTAATTCTGTACCTATTGTTGTTGATGATCATATCCACTGTTCTGTTTGTCCTCTGGCTAAACAGAAACGCTTGCCCTTTGCTTCTAGTGAATCTATCAGTAAGGCTCCGTTTGATTTGATTCATTGTGATGTTTGGGGTCCTTACAAGGAATCAACTATAGATGGTCATCGTTATTTCTTTGCTATTGTGGATGATCATACTAGAGTAACCTGGGTTTATCTTTTAAAGCATAATCTGAGGCTAGGGATTTGCTTATTCATTTCTGTTCTTATGTTTTTAATCAATTTAATGTGAATATTAAGGTGATAAGAACAGATAATGCTCAGGAATTTAATATTCCAAGTTTCTATAACACAAAGGGTATTATACATCAAACTTCTTGTGTCCAAACATCCCAACAGAATGGTAGGGTAGAAAGAAAATTGCAACATATTGTAGCTGTTGCTAGGGCTCTTTTGTTCCAAGCCTCTCTGCCTACTTCTTTCTGGGGTCATGCTGTACTTCATGCTACTCATCTCATAAATCGTATTCCGTCACCTTTAACACAAAATAAGTCTCCTTTAGAAGTCTTACAGGGTAAAGCTCCTGATCTGGCTTATCTTAGGGTCTTTGGCTGCTTAGCATATGCTAGCACTCTTAGTCACAATCGCCCTAAATTTGAACCTAGAGCTACTCCTTGTGTTTTCCTTGGTTATCCTTTTGGTACCAAAGGTTTCAAACTAGTTGATTTAAACACACATAAACAAATTGAGTCTAGGGATGTTGTCTTTCATGAACATATTTTCCCCTATAAACAGTCTCCTCATTCACCTAATGATGAGTTATCTCTTCCTAATTTTGAACTTCTTCTAGATCCTACGACTTCTGTTCCTCCTCCTGGGATGTTGCCAGTTACTAATCCTGTCAACATTCCATTACAAATACCCAATAATAATGATCCAGTTCCTGCTGGTAGGCCACAAAGGCAAACAAAGCCTCCTGCTAGACTCAAGGACTTTGTTTGTCACTCAACAGTGGCTACATCTTCTACTGTAACACATCCTCTTTCCAATGTGCTTTCCTATGAGAAATTAGCTGCAGGTTACAAGAGTTTCGTCATGAATGTAAGCAAAGAAGTCAAGCCAACCTGTTATGAGGAAGCAATTAAGGATCCAAGGTGGGTGGCAGCTATGCAAGCTGAACTGGATGCATTAGCAGCCACAAACACTTGGAAGGTAACTTCTCTGCCTGCTTCTAAAAAGGCAATTGGTTTTAAATGGGTTTATCGAATTAAATACAAAGCTGACGGTACTGTAGAGAGATTTAAGGCTCGTTTAGTAGCAAAAGGTTATACACAGACCAAGGGTATAGATTACTTAGAAACATTTTCACCAGTAGCTAAAATGACTGCTGTTCGTGCTTTATTAGCCTTGGCTTCCATCAAAGGATGGGCTATTGAGCAATTAGATGTAAATAATGCTTTCTTACATGGGGATCTTCTAGAAGAAGTGTATATGAAAATTCCTCAAGGCTTAACACCTCCTTCTGACATTAAACGACCTGTTTGTCGCTTAACAAAGTCCCTTTATGGTTTAAAACAAGCAAGTCGACAATGGAACTCAAAACTAACTGAATTCTTACTAGCTAATGGTTTTATTCAATCTAAGGCAGATCATACTCTTTTTACTAAACATTCTGATGATAAATTCTTAGCCTTGTTAGTCTATGTTGATGATGTGATATTAACAGGGGATGATTTAGTTGGAATGAGGTCAATTAAATCTAAACTTGATGCTGCTTTCAAAATTAAGGACTTAGGACCCCTACGTTACTTTCTTGGGTTAGAAATTGCTAGAAATTCTACTGGACTAACTCTATGTCAAAGGAAATTTGCTTTAGACATCATTGCAGATGTTGGTTTACTTGCTGCTAAGGTTGCAGAGTCTCCTTCTGAACCCAATGTTCGATATTCTACTTCTTCTGGTGAACCACTTTCTGATCCTTCTCCTTATAGAAGATTGATTGGTAGATTACTGTACTTATGCACCACACGACCTGATATTCAATATGCTGTGCATCATCTAACGCAATTTGTAGCTAATCCTACTGATTTACACATGCATGCTGCAAACAGATTAGTTAGGTTCATTAGAAACAATCCTGGCAAAGGTTTGTTTTTTCCATCCGATTCAGCTGTAGGTTTGTCTGCTTTCTCAGACTCAGACTGGGCTGGTTGTCCTGACACTCGCAGGTCCACCACTGGTTTTTGCGTTTTTCTTGGCAAATCTTTGATTGGCTGGCGTTCCAAGAAACAAACAACCATTAGTCGATCATCTGCAGAAGCAGAATATCGAGCAATGGCCGATTTGTCTTGTGAATTACAGTGGCTCAGTTACTTGTTTCATGATCTTAATGTCCAGTTTGCTGATCCATTTGCTTTATATTGTGATAATACTTCTGCTATAAGAATTGCAGAAAATCCAGTGGCACACGAACGCACCAAACACATCGAGATCGACTGCCATCTCATCCGGGAGAAAGTTGCAGCCCGACTCATCAAATTGTTCTACATTTCCACTGACAGCCAACTTGCCGATGTTCTCACCAAGTCACTACCGATACATAGGTTTGTAGAATTGATAGGCAAGCTGGGCATGTGTGATATACATGCTCCAGCTTGAGGGGGGTGATAGAATATAGTACAAAGTGTAATTTTGTTGTTTTCAGGGTAGTCATTGTAACTAGTAGTTTGTATAGGTACTAAGTAGTAATTTGGTGAACATTATAAAGGCTGTACAGTGTAACAAGAACAATTACCGGTTTATGCAATAATCACTTTCTCATTAAATCTGGCACATGTGGCCAAGTCAGAAGTCAAAGCGAGCAGGGTCTATTAAGTTTATAACGTCAAACAAAGAATTGAGTGATATTATAGCCTTTTACACTACACGTAGCTTCACGGCTATTAGGCAAATATAAAGCTAGCTAGGAACCTGGGACCAGGAGGCAGGAGGAGGAGTAAGCAACAAGTTAACTAGTCAAACGCCAAGAATTCAAAATCTTACGTTGTCCAAGCCACGTACGTGTAAGTACATGTGCTATATCTATGCACGATAGAATATTGGGGAGGGTAATTAACACTCTTTTGATTTTTCAACTTCGATTCAAGTTTTTTTTATTTTTTGTTAGTTATTAAAAATACTGATTCATTCTCTTAACATTAAAAATATGTCCAATTATATTGCAAATTCAAGTCACCAAATCAAAATTTCTTGTAATTTTTTCCCCTCTTCAAATCTATACTCTCGTGGCTCTCCTATTCCAGTCGTAAAAAGGATGCAAAGAGATCAAATATTGGGTATTTCCAATACAAATTCAATATAGATCAAGTTTTATTGGGTTAATTTTCATTTGGCGTACACTCAGACTCAATTTTTTAATTTGGATCTAAATTGAACTCATATACAAAAGAAAATGAATACCCAATTCTAATTTAGTTTTTGCCTTATTTTTTGTTATGAAACAAAGAAAAAGATGGAAAGACAAACACCTACATGCATTAAAGGTGTAATTGGGTTGAAGGAAGTTAATAGGATGGTCGATATTATTATTTTGTGTGTACAATCATCTGAACTCAAATAAGCTCGTTTGTGTTTGAGAAAAATGAGTTCATCCAAATCGAATCCTAATTCAAACTCAACCCAAATCCAAAATTTACATTCGGATCCATTTGAGTCCAGCCCAATATATAAACAAACTTTTTGATGAGGCGAATAAGGGATGGGATTAGGTGCTAACCCTTATAGGGGTTAGCACCGTGATAACTAGCAAAAAACGCTACTAAAAATAAAGAAATCACTACGGATTATTATAAATTTAATACAACATCTAAGCTAAATCACTACTAATTCAAACTAGTAGTAGTTTTTCCCTTGATTAGGACGGTACTAACTATTGTACAATTAGCACCATAACTCCTACCGGCGAATAATCATTCTTTGCCCTTTGTTGCTCATTCCAACTTAACTCATTCGCTTTGTTGATTATTGTTGGATGCATGTTACTTAAAAAATTGGAACTTACAACATTCAGACTAAACATTAATAACCGTGTCACTGGAAAAATTATTGTTGCCACATCCCAATCAATTCTCAATCGGCAGTGCATATAATATATATATGTCGTCCCTTTCACGATGAAATATATAATTCAGTTAACCAATGTCATTATTATATACGATCATCACACCGCGAATCGGGTACATTTTCAATCACTAGTTTGACATCAAGAATCATAATTAATAGCTCTAAAAAAAAAGAATCATAATTAAGGTCGTACACGTCACAAAAGTAGGTAATATAATAACCAAAGCCAATGATTCTCCTTCTAGGCACATATATATGCATCCATCCACTCTACACGTAAGCAATCTCAGGACGACTAATCGTCACAAATTAATCACATGTCGGAAGAGGGAAACGATGTCGTTGTCGCATGACCGGGAGGTGGCAGCGCGTGGCGGCTCCGGAAACGTCCGCCGGCGTAGTTCATTTCGGTCAATGGACAGTGGCCGGTTCCGCCGTCGGGTGTGTGGCCGCAAGGGGAGGGCTGAGACGGCGGAACTGGACCTCTCTGGAGAGACTGAATCCGCAGAATAAAGCTTTCGTCCCGCCATTTAATCTGCTCTCCATGCAATGGCCGGGCAGCAGCGACGACGCCATGAGAAATCTCAGCGACCAGCACCAGAGCTATTGTTGTCGCCATGACGAATGCGAAGATATTGCTAAAACCTGCCATGACGATGAATATTGGTCTGGTATATATAGATTGTGTAGCAAAATCTACTAAGAAATGAAACAATATTAGATTGTTGTTTTGTGGTTATGGTAGGGGAGAACTTAAAGAAGGAAATGTGTGTTTTTATATAAATTTTGGGCTTTTGTGAATGTGCGGTTCAATAATGGAAAAGTTGTGTGTATTTAAGGGGGGATCTGCCTGATTGGAAAGTAGGGTGGACCAGGAATTTTATTAAGGGTGTTTAACGATAAATTAAAATCATTAAGAATTGGTAAAAGTAATATCGTGTCTAAATACTATCATGATCACTAAAACAAAATTTTATAGAAGTTTTTAATTTTTTGTCTTAAATTTGGATCTAAGGGTTGTTAATTGACAACTCTTTCACTAAATCGGGTCGGCCTCTGGTAGGGAGGAAAGGGTCGAGATGTACGATGAAAGGGAGATTGAGCTATGATCTGCCTGGTTGGCTAGCAAGAGTAGTTCAATCCAATTAGTCAAGTGATTGCAACATGTTCGGCTATCAATTTTATATTATTTACAAATAAACTTACTCAAACGAGATTTTGCGGATCATATGTGTTCAAAATTTGCACGACTTCGAACATAATGTGCTCAACAAATAGCGTAATCAGGATTCAAACACAGAATCTCTTGGTCATCAAAAGCTTTGTTGTCATGTCAAGAACTTTTTAATTTCAATAACTAGAATTATTGAAAGAATTTCAATTATTCATCGTACACTATTTACTAGCTAGCTACATGCTCGTGGGGTTGAATTGAAATTAAGTTCAATTATTGGAACTGTTTAGTTCCAATAATCTGAATTAAGACTCAGATATTCAATTTTAAATTAAGATTACAAAAGAGAATTTGAATAACTTCGTGCATCATGGGCTGCTGACCAGAGGATCTGCCGTTTGCAATCTGCGAAGTATATATTGCACAAGACCGAGGGAACCTATATATCGAAAACTACTCTGCAACTTCCTGTATGTGATAGACTTGGCAATATGATCTTTTCAGTAGCATTTTTCTTTATGACTGACCGGCCATTGTGATTAGCTTTGAATACATGTGCTAAACTGTAAATTTTTTTTTTTGTTATAAACGCGCTGCTATGGATCGGGAAATCGCAGGAATCGATAAAGCAAGAATACGAAAGCGAGAATCGAAAAACACGACACACGATTTACGTGGTTCACTAACACGATGTGTGTTAGCTACGTCCACGGGCGAGAGAGAGCCAGTTTCACTATATCGAGAAGATTACAGATTACAGAGGAGTATGAGAAGTATTTATAGTACTTCTTCATGTGGCTCTAAACCTAATCCAATCTGGCAAAGGAAACGGTTACAGATCAGGCCCCCGGTCAGCGAGACCCCCGATTACCAGTCGTAGCGGCTGATAGTCCGATTCAAGTCACATCAACATTTTTGTTAGTAACTCCAAATGCGCGCAAGTAACTATTTATGTACGTAAGTTACTAGCAAAAAAATTTAATTTGTACAAAAAGAATATCATCGATCGTCAACTTCCGCGAAGCGGGCATGTGTACTCTTACCATTCTCATCAAAAGGTCAGATATAATGAGAATTCAAATATATAATAATCACATCCATCATACTCTGCATTCAAATTTTCGGACTAACAAAGTAACAATCATCTAAAAAGAAATGTTCACTACAAGCATAATTAATATGTCAATGGCGACAACGAATGGTGACTGTGAACCGACGACGTGCAACCAGTGGCGGCCATCAACCAGGGGCGGAGGGAGAGGGCAAATGGGTGGGTCCCGGGACCCACCCTAGTTCGGGAAAAAAGGACTAAATTAGGTATAACAATTAATTGATTCGGAAAATTAGAGTATGTTTAATTGATAATCGTTGATCGAAAGGTTTTGTGTTCTAGTTTTGACGACCTCATTCATTAAGCACATATAGTATTCGAATTTGTGCAAACTTAAATTCCACATAATTTGATTTTCTTATAACGGGGTATGTTGGTAAATGGTATAAAATATATTATTGAACTTCAACCAACAACTCTAGTTATTGATACTATGGTTATTGACAAAGAACACAATTCGAAAGCGAACAAATAACTAAATCATGAATAATTATTTGTATAAGATTCATTATTAAACATATAGTAAATAATTATTGGCAAATAACATCATTCGAAAGCGACCGAATAACTAAATTATGAATAAATGTTTGGTATATAGAGAGAGTGATATTCTTAATAGTTTTGACTATTAATGTATTTTATTTTATAAAAAAATTTAAATATAAAATTCTATTATGAATAATTAAAAAAATTAACAAAAGTTATTTCATCATATATAGGACCCACCCTGGTCGAAATCTTGGCTACGCCCCTGCCATCAACAACGGCCGAACTCCAGTCTAGTGGCTGGTGGTAGTTTATTGCATATGGATATTTCCGGTTACGTTCGTAAATTGGTCTGTGGAAGGAGTGAAACGGTCCAACACGACCGACCATGAGGTTAGACCGGGTTTGGAATGGAATAAAATGGCCTTTTCCTGATAAGTTTCTTGGACCAAAACAGTTTTCTATATCTCAAGTCAGATCTAACTCCCGTCGTCGGCGTCAGGACGGAACAACACGTCAGCGCACCTTCACCTAAGCGGGTCAAAGTGTCAGCAGTCCACCAAGTCCGGTTGACGGTCGCCCTTCTGCTTGACAGCCGTTATGGAACGGCAAGAATTTTTCCGTGATTTAGTGTGATTTCTTTGGTTTGGTATAAATGAATTTCATAAAATTTGACAAATCCTTTTTGAAATAAATTAGTTTTGTATTTGGTATTAAAAAAATTATTTTCAATTCTAAATTTTGAATTCTATGGAATTGGAACTAGTTATAGCAATTCTCTTCGAGATGAAATTTCCAAATGAATTCCACAAGTATTTACTAATTATAATAGAATGACATAAATACCTTCTTTAATATAGCATACCAAATATAGGATTTCATTTGAATACAATGAATTCTACACGATAATTCATTTTCCACTTAAATGAATTCTCGATTCATTTGGTACCAAGCGGTCTGTTAAGAACAATAAAAAAATTTGAATGTGCAAAAGATTAAAGACGACGCAACAAAACTCTTAAAATCGTTTTGTAAAATATCACATAAAATCGTTTTAGGAAAAAATCATGATAACTACTAGTAGGTAAGGATGGCGATGGGTCGGGTTTGGGGCGGATTGTACTAAACCCATCCCCATACCCATTTTCATTTATCAAAGCAATACCCTCCCCATCCCCATGCGGGGGAGATTTTGCATCCCCATCCCCGCGGATTTCGGATACTCGAGGGTAATCCCCACCCCGTACATCTGATTATGATTATAACAAAATTAACACACTTGAATTCAACAAAACATATAACTACTGGGTTGAAACATCAAACCTAATCAATGATGAACCTAATAAAGAACCACTGATAATTTTAGTTAGATCATCCAATTTCTACGAAGCTCCATAAACAAAGAACCAATAAATAATCCAACATCATATTATTCATCTCCAAAACACCTACTAAACTATAACAAACCAAACGTGAAGGAAAGACGTATGAGCCGAATGTTATTACCACTATTACACTGTTGAACGGACGGTGAGCAAAAGAACCGACGAACTGAAGGAAGGCAACAAAGGGTCAAGGAGGGGTGGTTTTCTGGTGGAGATACTATTGAAGAGGGTAGGAGCGGCGGCGAATAAAGACGTGAGAGAGGAGGTTTAAGCATTGCCTTGTCGAGTGAAGGGAGGGGAAACTTGACGGTTGAAGACTTGAAGAAAATATCTAGGGTTAGAGTTAGAGACGCGTAAGGAAATTAGGGTGGCTTATATGAAATTAAACTGTTAGTACTTATTTGTTTTACAATTACAATAACCCTTCAGCTTTATTGGTGGATTGCGTTATACGAAATAAGTAATGGCGGGGAGGATATGGGTATGGGTATGGATGGGGGCATGGGGGCATGGGGCACTCAAATTCATGCTCGCCCCATCCCCACGAGCTTCTTTACAGGTATTACCCATATCCGCCCCATACCCAGTCAATGCGGGGATTCCCCTCATTGACCGGGTTGGGTAGGGTCAGATACCCGCGATTTACGACTATAATTGACATCCCTACTACTAGGGCTGGCTATTTGGTCCGGACCATTTGGTTTTACCCGAAACTGGACCGTATAACCCGGATCGGGACCGGACTGAGACCGGATAGTAAACAATCCAATCTTCGGGCTTAGATTTGAGGTAAAAAAACGTTTGGGACGGGATCGAAAACCGGATAAGAGAGCCCAACACCCAAAACTTAATCAACTTCTCACCCTTTGAGTCCTCAGGCCACTCAAATCCCCACCTGCTCAATCTAAAATCAATATCGAATTGGGACCTGACCGGGCTAAGACCGCACCGAATCAAGACCAGACTATATCAAATCCAATTTTTGGTCCTTATATTCTCAAAGTGCATGGTGCGATCGCGCACACAATATTTTGAACCACGGCGTGCAAACCCGGTCAAAAAATTCAATTTTTTGACAATTTGATTAATCATTTTTGGATTAATTAATTATATGTTTGATTATTGTGAAAGAAGTAATCCATCATAAGGTAATTTCTGTTGTTCAAAATTATAAGTTTGTTGGCGTAAGAACTCTTTTTCATGTGTTCTTCATCTTCTTCTCGCTTTCCTTTTCTGTATCACAAACGCAGAAATATGCAAGTCGACAGTCGCTACTTTAGATTTTGGTTGGAGTGAAAATCTATCAGCAATTTTAGTAAAAGTAAATAAATACTCTAAGAAGGGGTGAAAATCACTACTTATCACAGAACTCACTCTATTCATTCATGTTTACCACAAAACTATATTTTAATTTAACTAAACCATTGAATTTCATATAAAACACCACAATCCATCACTTCCATCCAATTTTTATGAACGCCAGATGTTGACGCGATGGTAATGATGCTGATGTGGCAACATTGAATTCATCTGAGTTGTCAAGAACTCAGCCACGTCACAACTATATATCCTAGGCACCGCTGAGCTAAAAAGAAATATATATATATATATATACGACTAGTATGCTCCAGACGCATAGCATGCTCCAGTCCTCAGTACCGTTGATCTAATCTAACGGTGCAATATTAGTAGTATTAAAATTAATTATTGCCATATAATTATATTACATAATGCATCCTTTAAATAATTATATGTCCTATGAACTCTCCCAACACTAATTACCCTTATTTTTATGGCAAGATACTTTATTTATCGACTGAGGTTTTAATTGACCCCAAAATTAATATAATTGGTATACATATTTTCATAAAAAATTTGATCGAATTAACTGAATGAAAATTAAATTTCATCATGGCACACTACAATGCGATTAACATCATCAGTTCATCACAACTACCCCCAATTGCTACCCTTAATTTGACAATCAACATCAAAATCCAGCAACCAATAAAACCTAAAATTCTGAAGCGATCTCATCATAGTGGTCAAAGGGATCCAAACGTAGTCCGTACAATTCATGTCTGAGTTTTTCAGGTTATGCAAAGTTGTCTCTTGCTCTCCTCGTCCACCCTAAGACTCGACCTCATCCTCTGCTTCTGAGCGCAATCGATTTCAGCGCATAAGCTGGATGCAGACTTCTGACCTTTCGCGGAAACCTGAACTCAGTTGTCGGTGTTTGACTATGAAAAGGACGCCTGGGAAATATTACAGAGGTTTTGACGAAGGGAGTACTCCGCGTCTCGACAATTGCATTCTCGTGGTCGGATTTGAGAATAGGAATGGAGAAACTGCAAAGGAAGATAAAGGACGAGGCACAACAAAATAATTGTGTTACATAACATATGGGTTTTCGTGTTCTTTGGTGAATCGAGAGTGCTGGTCACCAAAATCCACTCTGCCTCTGCGCTTTCTTCTGTCCCTTCTTCGGTCGCCCAATCTTAAGGACTGAAGCTCTGGAGGGCACGATTGCATCCAATCCCTTAAGTGGTGCGCAGAAACAAACAGGAATAGTTAGATAATAGGTTGTCGGAGAGAATGACGGCATGCCGAAGAATCGACTGGTTGGTCGGCTTCATCTTCGCCCTCGACAACGACACGATGATGGCCCTCGCTTGATACGCCTTCTTCCCTTATTTCTGGACGGAGAAAAGACGGAGAAAGACAGGGGAAGAGATTTCCACAGTTAGAGAGATGGAGTGAGTCGGGTGATGAATGGAATGAATTATATAAACCAAAATTTTCTAATGGCGTCTGGGTTTTGATGATGGCCATCAGATTGGGGGAAGTTGGGTTCCGATGATAATGTTATTGGCGGTGATGAACACCCTGACCTGGTTTTGGGTAGATGTTCTTATGATTATGATGTCGTGTTTATTGTTAATTTTTTCTCAATGTTTATACAATAGGGTGTTTAAAAGGATGCATAAATGAAATACACTACTTTAATACTCAAAGTAGTGGTTAAATTTACTGGAGGACTAGTAGACACGTATAGAACTTTATGGGGTGTAGTTAGTAACTTTAATTACATATATTAATAATCTATTTAATCAATATAAGTAATGACCGTCTAATTAGATCAATGGTGTAAGTAGTCTGGGGCATGGCATGCGTCTGGAGCACATGAGTCTGACCCATATATATATATATATATATAAAAGAGGTAACCTTGGCGACAGCAAGATATCCGCCTTCGAGCTCCATCGGTTCCATACCATCACGTCCAGCCTCGGCCTCCAGAAAATGATGACAGAATTGGACGGCGGCGGGTTCAAGGAGATGAACACTCAGGAGGTTGGTTCCGAGGAGGCAATGGTCAATGTGACTGTGAGGGCCGGGTCGTGTTCTCCTTGGACGACATCATTGAAGGCGACTGATAGATTACCGCGGAGAGTGCCGCAAGATGATCCGCGGCGGCGATAATGATGGCGACGGGACGATTGATTTCGAAGAGTTTAAATGTTTAATTTAACCTCCATTGATGGAACTGATCCAGATCTCACTCTCTCTTTCATTTTGTTGAATTGAAATTGGAATCGATTGAGTTGTTAATAAAGACTATACCCTGGCCTTAATAAAGATTGCCTCTTTCACTTGTTTATTCGGTTTGCTTGGGGTAGGAGATTTTGGGGAAGATGACATATGAAGATGGATGGGCATACAGTGACTAATTGACAAGGGAAAAAGTAATTAGGGTTGGATATCTTTTGCAGGATGGGGAGGAGTTTAGCAATACACACCGTTTTAAGGCATGGAGTACTAGAAACTAGAAGCTACAAGGTTAGCACCTACAAAGTTAACACCGTTAGCGCTTCGTTTGTATTGGTAGGATGACATCCATAAAATTTGGACCAAAGTGTTGGATGGTGGCCTTTTATATTAGGTTCAGTGGTTTAGTTGAACTAAAAATGAGTTCAGTGGTAAACATAAATCAATAGAGCAAGTTTAGTGATCAATGGTGATTTTCACCCCTCTAAGAAGAGTGATTCAATCACGACTTCACTGCGGTTTCTATTAACTAAGGCAACAACCATTTGAGTGCATGGTAGACGAAGACAGCCTTCCATATCACAAGTTGGGGGCTATGGAAAGAATGCAGCTTGAGAATATTCGAAGAAAAGGTAACCAATGTCAATCATTTGTTATCAAATAGGATGCATGATTCCTAGTTGGCTGATAAGTGCAAAGAAGATGGATCGAGAGACTGCAGAGGCTTGAACCAGTTGCTTAAGAAGAACACTATTGCAACCAAATGGATGTAACTCCAACCTAAGAACCAGCAACTTCGCCCCTCATTGGTGACTTCATTGTTAATTACAGTACCTAGTGAGCTATGCTCGAACAATTGAGATCCTAGTGCCGTTGCCTGGATGAGTGGGCACTCATTGTCTGATGTGACTAATACCGAATTTCGAGCATTGTTCGCGAGGGAAGAAAAAAGAGTAAGAGGTTCTGGTTATAATTTGTTAGAAGTTGCTAGTTATCCTAGTTACATCGGGAGATCTGAGTGGCTAGCCCCAACCTACCTAGCGAGTACCTCTTCTCCTTGTGCCAATGCCCCTTCCTCTCCTGCTTGTCGACGAAGTCACATCCTTCGAAGTTGCTGTTGCTTTCTCTTGAGCTTCTTTTCCCTCACCGTCACTACCTTCATCGAAACTTTCAGTTCTGTCAGTCGATTCTCCTTTCTCTTCTTCTTCCTCCTCGCTATCCTCTTCATCTTCTTCTACTTCTTGTGCTGGCTGCTTTTTCGAAATTTCTTTCTTGGAGAGTTGATCTCGAAGCTCCCTAATTTTCCACTTCTTCGAATTCAGAACTGCAAGGAACTAGACAACAAACAAGGGAATTAGTTGTACTATGGAATGCTAATGTTGTCAATTGGACTCAAATCAAGTGTGTGCCACAACTTCTAATGGAAGAAAGTTGGTCAATCACTGCTGCCATTCTGTATGCTTCCCTATTCTATCAAGCAAATATCAAGCCAGCAACGACATTGCAGTAAGAGCATTATACACTAGGTGTTAACAAACAAGAAGTCAGGTGCAATTAAGCTCAAAATTTGGAAGACTTAGTGCAGCCCCAAAGCTAGATAGATACATATTAGCGCACAAAGTACAGAATTCAGACAGTCGAATCAGCTAACCTTGGCATAGATGTCAGACTCAAACTCCAGTTTCTCACTGCAATACTTCTCACTTTGCGCCAAACATTTCTCAGCTTCCCCTTTGACTCGCTCGAATGACCGAGTCTTTCTAACAACTTCCTCCTACAAACACGCCAAAAAAGTCTTCTTAAGTGCATAATGACTAGAGGAATGACATTTAAAAGGACCTTGATCATAACAGAAGAGGGCAAACAGCCGAACGAGATTGACACAAGAATGCATAGAGTCTCACACTGAGCCTTATGTTTGCATCCATAAGAAAATCCAAGATCCCTGCAGTCGTCTTCTTACTATCAGGAGATGGCTGACATTTCCATCTCCATTGTAGCGTCATTCCTTCCTTTTCAAAGCTCCATGATAACTGCAACCTCTCAAACCATCACCAAACCATTACAAAAACCACATTCCAGATTTTGGGTCGGTTCCATAATTAACAGCATCAGAAGGTCGAATCATACAATCCCTTCAACCTTCCTAACCTCTAATGAGGTTTGATTCGCATAAGGGGAATTCGGAATCCAAAAGCAAACGCTGTTGAACACAAAGTTCCAAACGGGACAAAAATTAGAAGAAAAAAAAGCGAATCACTAACTCGTTTGCAGCCGTCTCCGGCATCATCGAACCTGTAGACCGAGCCAGGGATTTGAAACCCTAGGTGCTTCTCCGCCAATTGGATATACTCGGAAACTGCCTGATCCCACTGCGCCGCTCTATCTCTCACATCCTCTTCCCTAGCTGGCAAATTTGAAGCAAGAGCTCGGATGATAAAATCAACCCGGAGAAACGGAGAGATTCAAACAAGAGAGTAAAGAGAAGAAGGGGGAGATATAGGTTACCGAGGCAGACCCAAGAGCGGATGCCGTCGGTGATGGCGAGGTCGAAGCGACTCTCGAACCACGTTCCCTTGACGAAGATTGGTTCGTCCGCAGGGGCGGAAATCTGGAGCTTCAGGCATGTGTGCCTCGTCGACGCCGCCTCCTCAGTATCCATTCTTCTCCGCCTGCGCCACCGTCGTGTTCGACAAGCTTTAGCTGCAGTAGGGAAAACAAACAGAGTCGTCTTCTAGGCTTTTAAACGGTTTGGCGCCGTGCCTATAAATGCTGTTCCGCCGCATAACGCGCAGGGCAAACGTCGTCGTTTTCCTTTAATTTTCAGAAACCAAAAACTCGTCGCTGTGAATGAACTAGCAAAGACCCGCTCGCTACGCTTCGCGATTATGAGAAATGCAATAACATATGACATAATAAAAGATAAGAAGTAAATAAAACCTTGAAAGCAAGCACCAATTCTAACAGAGAACCTGAAAACAAACTTAAATATTACGCGGTCCAGTGAGTTGGACCTCTATCTTGTGATAGAGGGACATAATAGTTTGTAGGCCAGCATGTTTAGTTAAAACAAAAGAAGCTGAAAATAAACATGAGTTATAAGGGAACACATATGCTTCAGTGATCTAAAGAGAGAGATTGACATGGATATGTTGCAAGTGAGTAGAACATAAGTTTTGGTATGCCAATTAACTGGACCATTGGTATAAACTTGCAGCATGAGAATGCCAAATTGCAACAACTTCGAAGGTTTCTGTAATGTGGTCAGGCATGGGTAAGAACTTCACTTCAAATGTATAAGAACGGTTGATGATAGATTCTAGTAGTATTTCAACATCGGCTGTCTCAAGGTCTCGCCGAGGGCTTGTTTGCAGTATGGCTGCAGTTGCCTCATGACTAATAAGGAACGTGGTTGTGGCTGTTTCGTCGGCGACGTCAAATGAGAAGTAGAAACTGTTGTGTGGATACTCAGAGTTAGAAGAAACTTGTCCATTTCAACGATTGTGTATATGTACAAAATTGCATAATACATACCTTTTTATTTGGTCGTCATCGGCTATGTATGCAGAGCAATTGGGGCAGATGTCATTGGCCAAGAGCTTCTCCTTTTGTGGTAAGCATTCAGGGCATAACCAGCAGAAGAACCCAAAGCGCCAGTTAACAACTGTGATTGTTCCAAAGCACATGAATGATGTATGTATGTATAAATAACCAAATGAAAGTAGTTTGATTAGCTTCACTAAATATTTTATGTACCATTAGAGGGTAGGAGGCATACATTGAGTGGTCTATCTTCGTTGTCTGCAAAATAGATAGCCAATTCAGCCACTAAATCTTGGATGGACTGACAATACTTGCGTGACCCTAGTGGTTTCAGTTGTTCAGTGGTGCGGTTTTGATCAATCCAAAATACTGGCATGTTTGAATTTGAGTGGCTGTACCAAACACACAAAAAATAGTCATGTGCCAGCGAAGGCAAATAGACTTAGTTTTATTAATGAAAGCATATGGACCTAAAGAACATGGGTCGATGCATCCTGAGGTTCTGTTTGATAATGACCCGTGTGCTGAATGTGCTCTTGTATAAGACCTTACTTGCATCATAGACACATTTCTTAATTGATATGGACAATGTTGTTATCATCTGCCAAATGGAATGGATACCTTTCGAGTATGTGCCAAGCATTGCAGTAAGAGTTGCTATGACCGGGCAGTTTTGTTCTTGAGCAACAACTGTAGCCTCAAGCGTATCAGTGACTTTTTGGTTGACGATTTTGGTCAAGACCCGTTGATGGCTGCATGTGATAAAGGGGAAAAAAATAAACAGTTGTCTATCGATTTGTTTAAAGGAAACTTGATGGAGGGGTTTCCTTGAATTCACACCGTTCATTCTCTAGCATAATCAGTTGACGTGTCGATCTCAGTTTGCCGGAAGCTTTTGCATATGGCCTGAAAACAGCGACTATGCGGTCGACTATGTCTTTAGTACATGAAATGCAAGGCAGAGCAAGTTAATGTTCCTGTACAGTTTTTTGCCTTACAACTTATTGGAGTTCTAGGAATACCTGATTTTGTTCCTTTGTCCATTGCCCTATCTAGTAAATAGCAGAAAGGAACTGGCTCGGCCATGTCTATTGGATGGTATGCGTCTGAGGTGGTTCAGGGCGGGGTTCGAAGGTCGTCTGTTTAGTGAATCGCAGTGCAATACTTGTTGAACAACAACTTGCCTTGCTCTGGGCAGGTTCTACAAAGAATGAAGCGATTCTGTAAATTGTCCCGACTTCCAATTGTGGAATTCTTGATACGTCTCTTGTTGGGTCAGCTGCTGCGACAATCTGCGTCCCCTGCATGACTAAAATCTTATAAACTATTCTACATGGCTTGAAAGGAGCAGATAGGCGGTGGACGATAAGTAGAGACATAACAATATGGTGCAAACCTGTTTGTCGAGTAGGAGGTAGTAGATCTCGTGATTTCCCGTCGGTGGTTCCTGCCATGTATGCAAATGCCTGACCTCGATGGTTTCGTATGTATAACCAAGGCGTAGATAGCGGATTTTTATGTGTTCGTCCATTAATTATTTCCAGAATCGAGCCAATAAAGGTTTCGTCAGGCGGGAGGCGTCGAGTGGTGGGTGAGAACCCTAGCCGGAACTGCTAAAACGAATGGAGGGTGGTGGAGGATGAATTGAATTTTTTGTATGATTTTGGTTATTATTCTTTTACGAAGCGGGTTCAATGGAGGCCGCAATATCCTACAATGGGCTTTGGTAGTAATGGGCCTATTTGGGCCGTTAAATGGTGGTGTTGTATTTTGTTGGAGTTTTGTGCACTTGACCACAGAGGACTAACTTGGGAAACAAAACGTTTCGAGCAATGGTGTTCTTGTTGCAGAAGAGTAATAGAAATGAGAGGAGGTAGAGAAGTCAACAATCAGTTGTTCGAGTTCAAATAAAAGTAGCGGAACAATACATTAAGGATAGGAGAAGGAACACAAAGTCTCGGTTCCTTTAGAATACATGTCTATTTAGCTTTGATAGCAAATGCAAGTGAGTCAAACAGGGTAATAACTTGGAGTTCAGGTTCTTCAAAGTTGTCAATTGGAATCGGTTCAATCTCAACTGTGAAGGTTTTGCCCATTATGCTTTCTAAACACGCTGCTCTGGCAGCCTCAGACAATCCTTCAAACTCCTATGGTGGCTGTTGAAGCAAGGCCATACTAGCATGATTGCTGAAGAGAAGATCACGAACGGTTTGAAAATCATTGCACCGAGCATAGAAGCTGAAGCTGCAAGATTATAAATAAGTGTATTTAGTATATAGAGTAACAAACAACAACAACCATATTACGAAGCATATGTACCTGTAGGAATCATCGTCAGGGTAAACCATGGTTTGGTTTGTGTGAATGTGGTCAATCCTTATCAGGCACCAAACATCTATCTGGAACTATAAGAGTTAGATGCTGACTATGGGTGTGCTTGGTAAATTGCTTAACTAATACAAAGAGGAAACCAGGGATACAAACATTATATGGTTGCTTCATTTTTCTCAATCCACCAAACAACCTTAGAAAAGTTGTTTTCATGGGCATGTCAGGACGTATGAATGCAGGTGTCGGTGTTTGCAAGTGGCCGAAGCGAATTGGTTGATGAATATGTGATAACCTATGTGCATAGTGAACACTGTAAACCGGACGGAATCATAAAAGGTAATGCAGGAGTCATAATTATGGTTTTGAAAACTTGCATGTCCCTTAGCTTTCTGAACCGATGTGTGTAGTAGCCTAGAATGACACGGGATGTTGGAGTGTTGATTGCGACAAAGTCGTCACTTCCTAGCAACAAACCAATAAACTATTATGAGTATTTAATCATTCTATGCATTCCATCAGGTTATGTAACTGAATAAAGGAAAACCAAATGAGACCTGGTTCTTGAGTGATGAGCAAGCTTGTGAAGGCATACACAACTGGACCATGTCGTTCCAGTGTTGCCATATATGGTTCTTCGAAAGTTCTGTGACTTTTGTCAAACTTGACCATCAAAATGTTGTCACTGTGGTTATGAAATATTAGGGGAAATCTGGTAGTTAAAACTAAAACTGTGCACAGTAAATAAGCAGGACAAAAGATAGTCTCACGGATAGTCTTCTATAGTTATGGAAATAAGTTTTTTGCAGCTTGGCTGTTCCGGTTCTTTATAAACGTTGGTTATTCGGCCAGCTACATCTGTTCAATACAGTAAGCAAAAATAAATTGTGGCCTAGTTGATTTGAAGTAAAGGAGAACTGTGGTACCTAATAGTTGGATGTCTGATTTGGAATACTGATGTAGTTGGGAAAAGGGGGTCTGGGTAAATCCAACGCTTGGGAACCATGGGTAGGGTGGAAACTCATGCAGTTCTGTCAATTTGGTTGTCTGTGTGATGGCAAGGCGAAGCGGGTGGCTGCATGTCCGTCGGGATCCCCATGCCTTCTCCGCCACAACTGAATCTATCAAGTAAATCGCATGGACGACAAGAGATGGTGTTTTGGCTGGCTCAAAGGAGTAGTAGCAAGTTCCCTCGATCATATCTTCCTGTCAAATTACAACAGAAAAAACCAGTGAATGAAATGTGAAAGTATAACTAAGAAAATTAAGAATTCCTTACATTTTTATCAATCCAGAAGGTGTGTGTGGGACATGCAGAGTTTGTCGCCACCTCGGGTTCATTCCATATATTAAGAAGCCGAAGAATGATCGCTTGTTTGTTAAAACCGAGTTGAAGGGAATCTAGTGTAAGCGGTTCTTCCATTAGGTCTATAGTGCGAAGTGGTCGAGCTCAGAGAAAAATCGACTCGAACAGAAAGAATGATCTAAGATTTACATTGGTCAACAACAGATTCGAAATACATTACCTTTTGGACCCCACTGAAGATTGTAGTCGAGAGCCATGGTGAACCAACTCAGGCGGGGGTGATTTTCGCCGGCGAATGATTGGGTGGTCCGGAGAAAATCGAGGGTGTGCTAGGTCTTCGTCTTGACAGGTAGCAGGGGCATTGGGGTAGGCGATCATGCGGCGAAGGCAGCTCAGCTAAGGGCAAAACGTTGAAACATTTGTAATGGGCTCCATGGTAATGGGCCTGTTTGTCCTGGCCAGTAAACGGTCGTTTAATGTGTGCGGCCCAATGTTTCAACAATATACTTGTCTGCTTGAATGAAATGGTTGCGGTTCATTTAAAAAAAATATACTTGTCCAGTCTGGGGAATGAATGTAAGAGCTACACAATGGCTTGAAACATATAATTTCTCCTTCTAAATGTTTCAAACGAAAGGCTTGTCGACAAACAATATTACTGGCTTACGTTAAAGGAACCAAAAGAACATATAAGACTGCTAACAAAATAATCTGCAGCTGAGAAAGTTGAGTTACATTATGCTGAGGAACCAGCAACAAATTCATTAAAACACAAGATTTCCAGTTGTGCAAAGCAATCTTCAAGTACCGAGGCTTCAGGTTCCTGTGGTTTGACAATTTATAAGCACAATACACAGTAGCAAACCAATGCTTTGCCTATAAGAGTTAGTGCATAAATTGACTACCAAGATAGACAGCTGTGTGGCCTTCTGGTTTGTTCCCGCAAGTTTGAGTTCCTCATGTCCTGTAAAGTGTAAAAGAACAACTGTAAATGTTGAAAGAAATGATGTGCAGTAACTGTGATATACTTAAAGTGAATCAAATATCTTCAGAAGCAAACCAAACAATAGATGGAGGTATACACAGCGATGCACCTCCTAGTGAATCAAACGTTTCACTGTATACAATGTTCCTTGAATACCCCAGAGGAACATGCTCTTCATTTTGAATAAGAAATTTCTATCTTTATGCAGACCTAACCCTTGAGATAGCAACATACAGCTGTCCATGGCTGAAAACCGGCTTTGGGAGAAAGACTCCAACACGGTCCAAAGTCTGTCCCTGACTCTTGTTGATGGTCATTGCATAGCAAAGTATTACCGAGAACTGTCTGCGTCTTAGCACGAAAGGCCACTTCTGATTATTGATGTTGACAACAATTCTAGGTATTGCGACAACATTTCCAGCATATGCACCACCCATGATGAGTCCCTTGATTACATAAGTTGTTAGGTAGGTGACCATTATTCGAGTGCCATTGCACAAACCTATTTCTGGATTTAGGTTTCTGAGCAACATCATTGGTGAAAAAACTTTCAGCTCAATTTCATGATCTGGAGCCACTAAAAGTTAATGTGTTTAGGAATTCAGTAGGGTACTCAACCTCAAGCCTTGCAGTATCTTTTGAATCCGAGTGGATTGTGTCTGCACTGAAGTAATTGTAACCCTTCCCCGCACCCTGTTCAATATATGTTTGTTAATCTCAGTGACATTCTTGTTTGTTGGGGTTACAATTGCCCTGGCTGTGAGGTAACCTGCATGGTGGTAGTTTGTTGAGAAGTCTGAATGTATCTCATCGCCTATTGTTGCTGTTGGTTGAGAGGATGGATCAAGAAGAAAACACGGTGGTATGGAAATCCAGTCTGCAGGTTGGTTCTTGTTGAAGCTTGTAGCAGGGATCTCTCCATTTCCTATGGCTAATGTCCAATCGGCAAAAGCCATATTAGAAAATGTTGGATGTTGGTTAAGAGGTGATGATGTGATGCGCATATTTCTGGACAGATGGAGCACAGTACAATACTTCCAAAGATATGATCGTGTTAGAGAAGAATCAACACTTTCTTCTCTACCTGCATTTGGTACTACTGGCAGTGTTTGCCTAAAATCTCCTCTGGACAAAACAGTATTGCCGCCAAATGGTTTATACCCTTCTCTCGTGAAAGGCACATTCATTATATCACAGAGAGTTCTATCAACGGCCTCAAATGCCAATCAGTGGATCATAGGAGCCTCATCCCATATAATAAGATATGCTTCAGCCAATGAGTGGGCAAGTTGTGTACCTTTATGCACGCTACATGTTGAGTTCTGATCAATTTCCAGAGGAATTTTGAATCTTGAATGTGCGGTGGCTGCATTTGGCAACAACGTAGCAGCAATTCCAGAAGATGCCACAATAAGGACCTTGCGATTAAGCTCATCCATTGCAGCAGCAAGAGTTTTATACATGAATGTCTTGCCTGTCCCTCCATGGCCATATAAGAAGAAAAACGTGTCCCTGCCACCTGAGACAGATGCGAGAATCTTATCAAATGCAGTTGCTTGCTGTTGATTTAAATCTCTGTAGACAGGGGGTTGTTCTGAGTTGGTTGATGATGATGCTTCCTGGGTCCCAAATTGTGGTGATCAATATGTGAAAAATTGTGTACTTGTGTGGTTGAAAGTGGAAGTCCAAAGTGTTGTAGGGAACTTGAATAAGCATAAAGCATCCTTTGCAAATCATGTAATAATATGTCTTTAGGGAGTTCAGTAGGCATTGTCGCAACCGCCCTTCGAGATCGGAGGTACCGCTCGCGATTGCTCGGAGTCGCCATCGACCGCAGCTTGGG